GTGGTGGGACCCACTGAAGCCCCCACCATCCGGGGGCTGCTCACTTAACCCCTCGGCCTTCGTAATTCACTCGGCAAGAAGGACCAGCTGCTTGTCAGGGGAGGGCTGTGGGATGAGATGGGTGGTGTCCAGGCTGTTGGGGTGCAGGAGTGAGAGCCTGGCTTTGGCACCCTGGGCAGCCCCTTGGCAACTCTACTGAACCGTAGCAAGAGCCCCCAGAGAGGTCTTGCTTCTACCAGGCCCCCAGCCTGCAACGCCATTACAATGCAAGCACAGAACTCTCCCGCAGTCCCCATCTCACTCAGGGTAAAGCCGGGGTCCTGGCTCTGCCCCTGTGAGGTACCACCTGGTCTGGTTCTGACCTCATGTTACCCTCCTACCCTCTGCCTTGTCCTCTCTGCTCCAGACTCGTTCATCTTTCTGAGTCTCACCTGCCTCGGGACCTTTGCACTTGCTGTCCCCTGCCTAGAATGTTCTTCCTCCAGCATCCTCCTGACCCACTCTCTGACCCTCTTCAGTCTGTCTTAGTTCGAGTTCTCTCAGAAGCAGTCTGGGCCGAGACTTAATGCCAGTGCTTTCCTGGTGGGTGCGATTCAAGAGCAGCAAAAGTGAGGGAAGAGAGAAGTGAGGGCGAGAAGGCTGGGGCACACACACAAGATGGCGCCCTGATGGTGACGCCCTCCTTCACACACACCCAGCTGATCCCTCAGCCCCTTGGGGCCTCATCAGAGAGACTATCCAAAAAACAGACAGGAGGGAAGGGCAGAAAGAAAAGCTTGAGAACAGCCCATCTGAGGCAGGGACGGAGAGGGGGTTTATCCGCCAGCCCCTTCTTTTCTCCTTTCCCCCGGAGGGGAATAGCTTTCTCTTGGGTCCAGTTCCTTGCCGGGCCCTCTGGCAGCAGCTGGGGAAGCGAGGGCCCACTCCGTGGTGTGATGACCCATCCAAGGCCACGTGTGGCCGGCACAACCAGAGTCTCCTGGCAGCCTCCCGTGTGAAGCCAGGAGGACCACATGGGTGTGTGCCCAGCAAGGGTTGGTGAGGAGCGAGGGGCTCCAGGCTGGGGAGGGCGAGGCCGAGGGGCTCTGAATCAGCACCCCACATGGGGCTCTGGTACCAAGTCAGTGTCACCTCTACACAGGCCTTCTCTGGCCACCCTCCCTGAAATGTCCCATTCAGCCCCTCCCACACAACACCTCCTGGTCCTGTGCTCTGCTTCCTTCTGCTTAGCACGTATCATTAATCTACCGTATGTGCCGTTCCCTTATTGATGGCCTGTTCCCCCCACCGGGACGTGAGCTCCATGAGGGCAGGAAAGATGTCTGTCCCGTCCTCTGTTGTACCGCCAGCCGTCTAGTTAAGAGCAAGTTAATCAACAGAAAACAGCGCCTAGAGCAGTGCCAACACGTGGCCAGCCCTGCATAAGTACCACCTATCATTTTATTGTGGTTGTTACTTACTGTTCTGTGACTTGTTTGTTTATGTCCTAGAATCTTCCCACCTCAATATGTCTGGTCTCCCTCTTTTTAGTGGGTGCATAGTATTCCATAGTGCAGCTGTGCCAGGTTTTATGCTGGCAGCAGTATGTGCCAGGCCCTGGGGATACAGCAGGGAACACCTCAAAGCTCTTGACACGTTGGTGTGGAGGCCGGCAGTGTCAGTGCCGTGGAGGAGAGAGAGCCGAGCAGGGGTTGCAGAGCTGGTGGGGGAGAAGTCAGTGCTGTTTGTGTAGGAGAGGCAGACTATCTGCAGGACAAGGGCTATGGGCACCAGGGAGCAGCAGAGTCCCTGAGGTCGGAGCTCAGCAGCTGGGCCGAGGCGGGGGACCACAGCAAGAGATGCCCAGGAGGCAGCCGGGGAGACCTCGCAGAGCTGTGGGCCCTCATGCTGACCAGGGCTGTGCTCTGGGCCCCCCGGCGCAGAGGCCTGATGTGAGCTGACTTTCCTGTCACCAGGATCGCTCACTGCCGTCTGGACCACAGCGGGGCAGGTGAGGCAGGGGACCCAGTTTGGAAGTTGAGGCTGGCGCCTGGCCAGGGTGGTTGTGGTGGACAAGGTGCCCTAGATAGGACATCGATAGCCTCCCTGCTGATGGTCCTTTTCAGGTTTTTATGGCTCCATGCACCGTACTCACCTGTCTTTGTGCACACATACAAGCACTCCCACAGAGTGGCTTCCCAGGAGTGGGAAGGGATGCGGATGATCAATGTTGCTGGGCACACACAGAGTCCCCTCTGGAAAGACTTTGTTCGTATACCGTGGTGCACAAGAGTCCACTGCCTCGCCGACACTGGATGCCGTCGGTCTTGTTCACTTTTGGTGACCTCATGCATTTTCCCCATGACTAGTGAGGTTGAGCATCTCCCCGAGTTTATAGATTTCTCTTTGGGGGAATAGCCTCTTCTTAGTCTTTCGTCTCTCTCTTCTCAAAAGAAACCTTTCAGTCTTGCATTGAATGAGCTAGAACTTCCCCGAAATGTTAAAATAGACCCAGCAGTAGACTTACTTGTTTTGTTCCGGACTTTTGTTGGAACGCCGCTGGCAGTTTAGGTTCTCTGTGACTGGGGACATGGATAAACTGCAGCTATCTAAAGCCACAATGAACAGGTGTCCCCTGACTGAGATTCCCTCCCTTGACCGTGACCTTCCGCTCGCAGGGCAATGTGATGTGTAGACGTGATCTTCTGAAAATTTAATATTACAGCTGAGCTGTCCAGACTCGCAAGACTTTCCATCCTTTGTAGGTAACCTGCTTGTTTTTCCTGTTTGGATGTGGGTAGAATTTTCTTTTTCCTTGAAAACGTCGTTTTTCCTCAGGACAATGCTAGGCTTGGGCTCTTCTCGCGTAACTTTGCCTGGTGTTTGGGGACTCCTTTGAGGGCCAACGCAAATCTGTCTTCAGACAGGATGGTTTCTTCACGTGTATCTTTCATTGTGGTTTCTGCTTCACTGTTCTGGTGTCTTTTCCAGAAAGAGCCATTATTTGCAGGTCACAATGCAGCTTTCCTCCATATCTCTCCTCCCCTCATATGTAATATTGGTCCTTTCCTTTCATTTAAAAAAAGTTTCTCATGCTCCTCCTCCCCATCACTGAAGCTGCCATCTTCGTTATTGACTCTGAACTTAACTTTCTAATTTTCTGTTCTGATGTGGCTTTTTCATCTCGGTCTGTGGCTTTAGCTCATCCTCCATTACTTGTTTCATGGAATCCATCATTTCTTGATTTTTATGATACAGAGTTGGTGCTGTCCTAAATTTGCTTGTTTCCTCGTGGAGTTTGTGTTCATCTTGTCTTTGTTGCACGTTTTTTCAAAAGCCACATCTTAGCTCTTTTCTTTGTATGGTTCATGAACAAGACAGGGTCTAATCAGACCTGCTGTTTTCCAAAGAATAATGTATTGGATTCTCTGTCTTCAGGGGAGGCGGGCCCAGAATCCAGCGCTGTCATCTGCTGCTGTGTGGCCTTGGGCAAGTCACTACCCATTTTCTCATCCATGGAATGGAGCCAAGAAGGGTGTCATACCTGCACTGTGGACAGTGATCACGAGGATTAGGTGGAATGGCGTGGGTCAGGCCCTTAGTGTAGTGTCTGTAGTCGCCATCATCAACCAGGTGTCTGGTCTGTTTCCCTGAGCACATGGAAGCTGGGGGGCACATTCTGCCTTCTAGGGACCCCCTCAGTGAAGGCACCACTCCCTGGGCCCTCCAGATCTTCCCTCCCTCCTCACTTCCTGAGTTCCACAGTTAGGGACCGTGTCAGCGGGTCCCCTTGCCTTCTGGCTCCCTGACCTCTGAGATCAGCAGGAGAGAGAAGCCAGGGCTGCATTCCCCTAGCTCTGTCCTCCCAGCCACAGGTTGTCTGGCTTCCTCTGGTTTCAGCAGGCCTCGTCCCCAGCAGGCCTCGTCCCCAGCAGGCCTCATCCCCTGCCTATCCAGAGGGATAACAGCTCCCCCTCGCCCTACCTGGTAGCCCCCAGGGCTGCATGCCTTTTGTTGTTTCCTCAACCCTGACCACATCCTTTCGTGCAGTGCCTTCATCATACGCTCTACTGGTTTGAGTGGGCGTCTACTTCCTGCGGGGACCCTGGGGAGACACGTCCTGGGTCCTCCTTTCACACTGTGACATCTGTCCCCAGTCCCTAGGCTTCTGGTCAAACCCCTCTGCCCTGCGTAATCACGGACCTTATTCGTCCCAGCCTTATGGCTGGTCTGTCTCTGATTTCTGCCCCCCTCCCCACTGCCCCCAAAGCACCAAAGTCAACTGTCCATGCAGCAGTGAGGACCTGTCCAGATGCAAACCAGGTTACGTGAGGCTGGTGCTTCAAATGCGTCCTCGGCTCCTAGTCTAGTCGTTTCCCGGATAAAGTGTAATCTTCACGCTGGCTTCATTCTGGTCCTTCTTCTCTCCCCACACAGCTTGCACACACCCGAGTCAAGCGTGGGAACTGCCTGCAGGGCCTGGAACCCTGTGCTGCTGTCAGGTTCCCACCCACTCTGTTCTCTGCACAGGGTAACAACTGCTACCCACAACCTCATCTCTCCCTGAAGTCTCCCCATGTCTGCAGCCTGGTTTTGGGGATCCCCCCTGCCCACAGCCTGGTTTTGGCGTCTCCTCTAACTTGTGATGGCCAAGATTTCTGAACCCTACTGCTCCCCACATCACCTGGGGATATTTGTAAAATGCAGGTTCCCAGGCCCTGCCCGCTGTTCACTGTGAATCTATATTTTTCCCACAGGCCTCCCCTGCGTCCCCGTGCTGGGCAGTGATCGTTGACAACTCTTTTCACCTTCTGACTAGGCCATCGGCAACTTGATGTCTGGGGCTGGGGTGCCTAATTCAGCCACCTTCCTCATTCATGGCAGGAGGAGCTCAGTGAATAAGGCAAAGGAGAGTACCCACAATTGACCTGGCTACTGCCGTCTCATTTAGCAAAACATGGAGAGGGATTCCCCGGGGCCCTCCACGTGATGGCTGCAGTAACCGCCTTGCTCTTTGACGACGTCTCTCTTGCTTGCCAGCTTCATTCGGGAGCTGATATGAACGGATACGCTGATTATCCCCCCTGCCCTGCCAGCCCCACCAAGGAGCCCATGGAGCCCAAGCCCAGCCGAGCCCAGCTGCAGGAGGATGTCGACATGAGCAGTGGCTCTAGCGGAAATGAAACCAATGAAAACGGCTCCACGGGGCGGGACTCACAGGGCAGCGACTGTGAGGACACCGGCAAGGAGCTGGGGATGCTGGTGGAGCCGCCTGACGCTCACCAGGGGTAGGTAGGGCCTCCTGCCCGACCGAGGCGAGGCTGGTTGTTTGTTTTGTCAGTGTCTCATTCTGGTGTAATTTGACTGCTTTTGCAATCTTTTTTTTGTGTGTGTGAAGAAGATCAGCCCTGAGCTAACATCTGCCAATCTTCTTCTTTTTGCTGAGGAAGACTGGCCCTGGGCTAACATCCATGCCCATCTTCCTCCACTTTATACGGGATGCTGCCACAGCATGGCTTGCCAAGTGGTGCATCGGTGCGCGCCAGGGATCCGAACCGGCAAACCCCGGGCCATCACAGCAGAGCACGCACACTTAACCGCCTGCGCCACCGGGCCCGCCCCTGCTTTTGCAATCTTTAAATCATGATTACCAAGGTTTTCAAGACTTTTGAAAATCTTATTAACTCAGAAACAACTAAAATTTACTAGACTCTGGCCTTCCTTCTAATGATGCCCCTGTTGATTTTGAAGATCCGAGTGCCAGTGCGTAGCTAGAGAGTATAATGAGTCTTGGGAGGCAGAAGAGTCAGGTAACCCACCTGGCAGCTGCTTACACCGACGCTGAGTGGTTTGTGGAATATGAACTGGCTCCACTAGTCTTGGGTTTCCATCTCCCAATACTTACTTTTCCTGGTATCTGAAGGTTTTATGTTCCGGTTCTATCTTAATGTCGTATTTTTTAAAATTGTTTTCCTGTGGTGAAATCTAGCCTGTTATCACTGGTTGGATGGGGGAGGAAGTGGATGGAACATACAGTTTTCTGAGTTTAGTCTTTATTTCTTGTTCTTTTAGTCCAGATGCCTTTAGCCTGATGATGGTGAAGTCTGAACACAACCCATCTACAAGTGGCTGCAGGTAAGGCCAGTCAGAAGTCCCTTGACTTAGAGTCTTTGGAGAAATAGAAAGATATGGTATAGGAGGTTAGTTTTGGGGGTGATGTGATTTTTTTCAAGCTTCTGCTAGAACCTGTTAGTCTGCACTGCTGTCTCACGTGTGAACCTGGCTGTGCCCTCACAGACCCTGACTGTCCCCACGGGCTATTCAGAGCCCCTGATGTCGCTCTTCATCTGTAGGCCTTCTGGCTCTATCTGAGCAGACCTTGCCTGCCTCTTAGACATATTCATCTGGGACTTCCTCACCCTTTTTAGGTATTTGTAACAAATGTATCCTTAATTTCGTATTCACAGACATTTTTATATCATCACTGGAGCAAAATCCAGCTGTCACTCCTGGGCATGTGGGCACTTTGCCACAGCCTCAGAGACCTGATTTCCATCGTTCTTTCTGCACCTGCTGCTCTAAACAGGCCCATCTCCTTCAGCAAGTGCCACCTGTCCTGCCTTTCTCCCATCTCTGTATCCTTAGGTTTGGAGATCCTTCTCATAAATCTCCTTCCTCTCTGAGGTCTTCCTCTGCTCATCATTCACATGCATGCCCAGGAAACCATTTTGCTGTCCTCTGTAATCTCCATTACTCGATCCTTTTCATCTGAGACAGGGAAGGAAGGCACAGCTCAGTGATGCAGTCTGCCTGCCAGACTGTGGGTTGACCAGCAGGCCCTGTTGGGCAGAGTCCAGTTCTCACCCTTGGGGGACAAGAACCCAGCTGAAGGGACCTCGGCAGTGTTCTCGTGTGTTAGAGAGGTGGTTCTCAACCTGGGGGGCGATTCATCTTCCCACAGGAGACATGTGACAATGTCAGCAGACATTTTTGGTTGTCACCACTGGCGAGGGTGCTGCTGGCATCCTTTGGGGAAGGCCAGGGATGCTGTTAACATTCCGCAGCACACCGCAAAGAACTCCGTGGACCAAAACATCCCCGTGCCCTGGTTGGGAAACTGGACTAGAGGTGCATTTCTTCAGAAAAGGGCATGTCGAAGCTCATGTCTGATCAACACTTTCTTTAACTCCATAGCAGCGAGCAGTCCGCCAAGGCAGACACGCACAAAGAGCTGATAAAAACGCTGAAGGAGCTGAAAGTCCACCTGCCCGCGGACAGGAAGGCCAAGGGGAAGGCCGGCACGCTGGCCACCCTGAAGTATGCCCTGCGGAGCGTGAAGCAAGTGAAAGGTACATCTGCCTCGTGTGTTTGTCCCAAACCTGTAGAAGTAAGTTTCACATCCCCCCAAATTACAGCTTGGTTGGTGCTGACTTTCTAAAACCCAATCCTAAAACAGCAGAAGGGAATTATTAACTCTGAGAAAGCTGCCACTGATGGGAAACCTCAGTTCACTGGAAGTTTTCTATTACACTTGACTTTTACAGAAAACAGTCAAGTAAAAAACCAGGTGATAAGAGCAACCTATTTAGACACAACACTTTCATGCTCTGGACTGGGGTCAGGTCACGTTCAAGAGAGTCCAGCATCTTCCAGACTCTGGCCGGAGAGTTGGTGACCTGCACCGAGGCCTGACGCGTGAGCAGCTCAGAATGGAACTGAAGCAAAATGGAATTAAAGCCCACAGCATTTAGCTGAGGACCTGCCCCTTCTTTAAAAAATAACATCAAGAGATATGAGGGAGGATATTGCCAGATCTTATCCTTAATATTTTAGAGCTTGTTGATTCAAGACCTGGGGCAGTACATTTCTTGTTAGCCTAAAACTGTGTGAATGTCTATGGTGGTGGTCTTTGAACCAGGAAGGCAGGAGACAGGGCAGAGCACCTCCTTCCATCACAGGTGTGCCATAATGGGACCTGCAGAATCCAGATTCTGCTTCCATTTGTGGGTATGTTTGGATTTTATTATTAGATGGCAGAATGTGTAAGAGCTTTTAGAACTAGTCAGTGGAACAGACTGAGGCTTTTATCTGAGTCACGTGCAGGACTCTTCATGGATGCAGTGCGGGAATCTATGAACAAACCCAAGTTCCAAAAATAGTCACATCATCAAGCTCAGACACTTTTCAATAAACTCCAAGCCCCTTAAATAGCTTCTAGTAGAGTTCAGTCTTCCTTCAGCTGCTCCTGTGACTGGACCTTCCCCCAGGCAGGTACCCCACCTCCCGGATCTCAGATAACCGCGGGTGCCTCTGTCTCCAGGACAGGTGGGGAACACACTGCCATGGAAGAGGCGCCAGCATTTCTAGTGAACCGAGTGCTCGACTGCTGGATGTGCTGTTCTGCAAACAGCCCGTCCCGGGGAGTTCAGGCCTGTGCCCCCTGCACTGGGGGTCATCTTAGGATGGTTTAGCTGTAGAAGTTGATCAGAAAGATCCACACGGCCTTGCCTTTCAGTCTGTTGCTGGAACAAGGCTGTGAGCTTCGAGAGGTTTTAAAATTTCCTCCAGCGTTTCAGAGACAAGAGCGAAGTCCTGGAGGAAGTGTACATATCCACATTCCTGACCTTAGAGCAGTGGACACAGGCGTACTCTTCATTACAGTGGAGACCACCAGCTCCTGCGCTTTGAGGCCTTTCTTAGCTGCTTTGGTCCATTTTGACAAGCAAGCAGAGACAGGAGAGAAGTCAGCTTCTCATTAGGGCAGAGAAGGAAGGGGCCCTCCATTAACAGATGTGTGAGCCACACCCCCACTCTACCTGTGTTACACATGTGCGCTGAGGTCCCAGTGGACTGTGCACGTTAAAAACATGCATAGGAATAAAAAATCTCAAAGGCTGAGAGAAAGGTGAAAGGGTGGCTTTATTCTACTATCATCAGCTACTATCTCGAGGCACTGCATACAGTCAGGGCAGGGTTTGTCACTAATAATCATGGATACGAAACCATATTTCAAACAGCCTCCATGTTTTCTAACGTTTGGATGACTTTCGTTGGAAGGTCATCACTGCTTGTCCCATTCATCCAGCTGGGAGAGTGTGTGCTGGGCATGGAAGGGTGAGCTCTGCCGTGCGCTGGTTTGTCCTGCCTTTTGGGTACCCTTTTCAGCCCCATGTTTCTCTGCAGGCTCCTCTCTAGGCTGTGTCCCTTCGTGAGGGTTAATACAGTGAAGACAGATAACATGCTCTGCCAGCCCACCAAGGGCGCGCACGAACTGCAGGGCGAGGTGGTTCTCTGAACCCTAGGGGCTGCCCCTGCCCTCAGGAGGCCTTGGTGGGCAGCACTGCGATGGTCCGCTCTCACCGGCCTACCGAGGGCACAGGCTGAGTCTCCCGGGGTGGCTGGTCGGTGCTGGTCAGTGCTGGTCAGGCCCAAAAATGCCAACTGAGAATCTGTGTGGGGCCTCGGAGTGTGCACCCCCCTGGGGAGGGACGGCTCTGGGCGCTGCATGCCTGTGGAAGGAGGAACGCAGGGAAGGTCACTCTGTCTGGTCGGCTGCTCTGCCCCCGCTGACTGTCCGTGTAGGGTGTTGTGTTCTTGGCACCTGCACTGACTCAAGAACTTGGAATGTCGGCCCATATCGAGAGGGTGTTTCCTACCCTTTCCAGCAGTTTGTTTCTGGAATTGAGCATATGCTCAGAAACCTAGCAGTTCCTGATGTTTGGAAGGTAGAGAAGTCTAAATCAGATAAGACTGAGCCTTGGGTCCAAAGGTCTTGCACACGCTTGGCCAGATCCTGGGTCCAGCTCCAGCCGCAGCCCTGGGTCCCACTCACCTGAGGGCTCCCCTCTGGGGGGCGTCTGTGGCCATGGCTTTGTCACCCCAAAGCTGTTTGAAAAAACAGATTTCTGTTTGTTTCAGTTTCTCTGTGTTCTGTTCTCTCGGTGTCCCAGGAAGATAGCCCATATCTTCCATATGCCCATTTTTTCAGGAGAACAGTAGAATCCCCAACACGTAGAGTTAGGAACCGTTTTCAGTCCTCCTCTTGGTCTCTCCTGCAGCCAACGAGGAGTATTACCAGCTGCTGATGTGCAGCGAGAACCACCCCTGCAGCGCCGATGTGCCTTCCTGCACCATGGAAGAAATTGAGAGCGCCACCTCCGAGTTCATCGTGAAGAACGTGGTACGTGTCTTACACGAGTGGAGTCTTCCCCAGAAAGCTTATTTTCCAGTGGCACAGCATCTTCATCCTGGTGAGCTAGCTGAGCCACTGTAGCCAGTGGCTTTATAGCAGCAGAGTTTGGAGTTTCAGGAAATGAATTCGTACCTTAAAAAAAAAAAGACCTGAAAGTCAGTGATTCAGAAATACCAGTTGTGTGCAGGCTTCTGCTGTGTTCTGTGAGACTGTCCTTGTCTCATGGCTGACTCCACCCCATACCTGTGTGTGTAAGGATGAGCCCCACCCAATGGAGCATGGTGCCCACACGGGGGTAAGGGACACACTAGGTGACTGTCTGTTCATTTGGGGGGGTCCTGGGACTTGAACTCAGCTTCGTGAGCTCCAAAGTTCATGCACTTTTAGGTAACCCATGAAGATGGGGCTCCCGTGGAGGTCTGGGGGAGGAGGAGTGAGTCCCCTCTGCCCCCGCCACCCCCAGCGCTCAGTCAGTGAGAGCATATAGAAGAACAGGTTGGAGGATCCCAATGTGCTGGAGTCACGGCAAAGCTGGCCCGGGGAGTGGGCTCTCCAACCCTTCCCACCTCCTTCCTCAAGTGCCCCCACTGCAGCCTAACCCCGGGGAGCCCCCGGCCCTGAGCTCAGAGGGCCTGCCGGCAGGGAGAGATCCCACAGTGGGCCAGAGAGGCCTCCAGCTCCCCAGGCTGCCCTGGCCCCCTAGGAGAGGGATGCGCTGGCAGAGGTTTGTGGTTGACAGCCCAGATGAGAGAGGAAGAGGGACTGGAGGGCCCCCCTTCACCTCCCAAATCAGCCCAGCCTAGATGCCAGGGAGCCCCGTGCCCGGGAAGACTGAATGGACAACGCCTGCAGAGAATCAGCACACTGGGCTCCTTCTGGCTGTGGAACCCTGATGAGTTTTTCAAATAATATCCCATCTGGACCCCAATATATAAGGGGAAAGTAGAATTATTCTGGTCAGGGCTGAGGAGAGGGGCCTGGCAGCTCCCCTGACCCTCCACGCGTCCTGCTGCCTTCCCGTCTGCCTGCCCCACGTCTGTGCCTCTTGCGAGAGGGGGACCTGTCCATCCCCTTCTGTCTGTTCTCATTGGAGCCATGTTCTTCCTTTCCAGGATATGTTTGCTGCAGCTGTGTCCCTGGTCACTGGGAAAATCTTGTACATCTCTAACCAAGTTGCTTCCATCTTTCACTGTAAGAGAGACACCTTTTATGATGCCAAATTCGTGGAGTTCTTGGCGCCCCATGACGTCAGTGTGTTCCACAGCTCCACCACGCCTTACAAGCTTCCACCGTGGAGCATCTGCAGGGGAGCAGGTGAGGGCCCTGCGGCTGTGGCTGCCTTGTCCTTCTCCACCAGCAGCGTGGGGTTGGGGGGGACTTCTGCCTTCCTGGGGTGAGGGCCGGGCTGGGCCCACTCCAAGATGTGGGATGTGCTCCCCACCTCTCCTCTACCAGAGACCAGCACAGCGTACCCATGCAAAGGGGCTGTCGGCTGCCTTCTCTGTCCAGGTGAAAGAGAAAAAGTTGTTTGTTCAGAATAAATTTAGAGAGAAAAATAGTTTTTCATAAATTTCAGAGAGAGAAAACCATTCCAGAAGATTTTAAGAAATGTTGGGCATTTTAGAAATGAAGTTGTTCTGAGCAGCTGAAATCTTGACGTGAGTCTGCAGAGTATGGGAAAGGACCGAGGTGCATCTGGAAGGCAGTCGGGGCATAGGCGAGGCACCCCACTTTCTGCAGGCGGTGTAACGATGTCAGGGTGACGTGGGCAGTGCTTCTCGCCTTGGCCAGAGGCAGCTTCATGAGTGTAGACCATGACGTCCTCCTGGGCTCAGCCGCAGGCTTTCCAGGCACTACAGGCTCCAGTCTGTGCAGTGAGTGCTGCTTCCCCGGTCTGTGGGGCATGCGAGCATGTCCCCTGTCTGGTTGCCTGAGTCAGGCATCTCGCCCCAGCCCTGCCCTCCCTGCTCCTGGCAGCAGAGCTCTTGCAGTTAACCGTGGCGTGTCCATGTCCTCCTCCACTGGACTGGGAAGGCTTGGAAGCTCTCACTGACCAGCACGGGCCTTGCATGTGAGTAGGTGCAGGAGGGGACTGGCCAACCAGACTAGTCTCAGCAGAAACATGGCAGGGGGGCCTGGCAGAAGGTGCTGGAGAGGAGAGGGTCCCAACCAGCTCAGGCCTTCCCTGCAGTCCCTCCACTTTCAGTGACCAGGGCAGCCAGCAGAAGTCCCCTTTGGAGGCCAAAGTCCTGCAGCATCTGTCTGCCTGCCCCTAGACACTCATTAGCCCCAGTTGGGCTCTGATTGCTCAGAGCTGAGGTTGAACTGAAGCGCAGAAGCACTAAGGAGCCAGGAGAGAGGAACAGGAGACGGATGGGGCTGGGAGTTGCCCCAGGCAAGCTTGACCTCCGTCATAGTCTCAACCGAGAGCCACCCCTGTCCGCGTCCCGAACCGCCTCCCGTTCCTCCTTGGCTCATGGGTCAGTGTCTCTGCTCCCATCAACACACTCCTCAGACCCGCTCTCACCGCCTCCGGGGCTCGGGTCCCAGCACACCTGTGGTGCTCCGCAGTCAGCCGGCAGCAGGTGCTGTCACTGTCACCGCTGCAGCTCAGTAGCTGTACCTTCCTGTCTAACATTTCTTTTTTAAAAATTCCTTTATTATGGAGCCAGGCCAGTGGTGTAGTTGGTTAAGCTCGCATGCTCCACTTCTGTGGCCCAGGGTCGTGGGTTCAGATCCCGGGCATGGACCTATGTACCACTTATCAAACCATGCTGTGGCAGGCGTCCCATGTAAAGTAGAGGAAGATGGGCACTGATATTAGCCCAGGGCCAGTCCTCCTCAGCAAAAAGAGGAGGATTGGAAACAGATGTTAGCTCAGGGCTGATCTTTCTTACCGGAAAAAAAAAAATTCCTTTACTATGGAAATGCCATTCCCTCAGCTCTGATGAGGTCACCTGATTGACCTCGTGTTTGTACTAGACATCTTCAATTTTAAAGTAAGTTCGTATTTTAGCAAAAGGATTGGTGTAAGCTTTGAAATGCCCTAAGTTGCTTCTGTTGGAATATTGAACATCCCCCAAAATATGTAGAGTGAAATGGTTACGGCTTTATACACAGCAATTCTGCACATCAGTCAGTGTGTCTTCCAGAGTTACATTGTTAATTAGTGGGTGTGTTTGTAGCAACATATGTACCATTTCAAAAATGTTAAACTCAAAAAAAATTAAACTCCTGGCTGTAAACCTTTAGCGCTGCATAATTTAGTCTGTGCCACACTCATGAAATATGTTTAATTTTAATCAGAAGTGTAATAAAAGATCTCTAATCTGAGGGCTTTGCTTTGTGCTGGGGTAAATTTGCATTCACACCTTGACGCTGGAATCTGCTGCTTCTCTTGAGTCTGGGAGAAGTAAAGAGTGCTGTCTATATTTAGTTGTGTAATTGGATGAATGACTTGGGGCTTTTTCTTTTAGATTCTTTTACTCAAGAATGCATGGAGGAGAAGTCTTTCTTCTGCCGTGTCAGGTAAGTCCAGTTACTGGATTGCCTACATTTGAAATGGCACAAGCGTTTCACCCTAGGCCCCTCTTGTGAAGGTGGAGGAGGCGCAGGTGTGCCCTGCACCAGTTCCTGCTCCTCGAGGGGGAAAGGGCTGTCCGCCTGGCTGTGCCCCCGCCTGCACGCCCGTTCTTCGGGGCTGGGGGCTCTGTAGGAGCGCCCCTGCTGCTGAAGAGTCTGTGCGGAAACTCACTTTCATAAGCTGCATTTTTTTTGCTTTTTTTCTTTTTGTAAGTAAGATTAGCCCTGAGATGGGCTGGCCCCGTGGCTTAGCGGTTAAGTGCGCACGCTCCGCTGCTGGCGGCCCGGGGTTCGGATCCCAGGCGCGCACCGACGCACCACTTCTCCGGCCATGCTGAGGCCGCGTCCCACATACAGCAGCTAGAAGGACGTGCAGCTATGACATACAACTATCTACTGGGGCTTTGGGGGAAAAAATAAATAAATAAAATTATTTAAAAAAAAAAAAAAAAAAGATTAGCCCTGAGCTGACATCTGATGCCAATCCTCCTCTTTTTGCTAAGGAAGATTGGCCCTGAGCCAACATCCTTGCCCATCTTTCTCTACTTTATATGGGACGCCGCCACAGCATGGCTTGACAAGCGGTGCATCGGTCCACGCCCAGGATCTGAACCTGTGAACCCTGGGCCGCCACAGCGGAGCGTGCACACTTAACCGCTGCGCCACCAGGCTGGCCCCACATAAGCTGCATTTTAAACGTGCACAAGGGGTTGAGACAGCACCGTCAACAATGGAGTGGTTTAACCCACTCCTCATGGAGAGTGTCAGCCTAAGGAGCTTGGACTTGCCGTCAGCCACCTGGGAAATTGGCCAGAGGGCCCTTACCTGGGAAGGCCTGTACCCCAGGGTCTGTGAGGACCCCAAAAGCACGTGCAGCCTATGGTTCAAGTGTGCATTTTTCCAGGGAGAGCCCCATAGCTTTCCCAGCAGGTTTTTGACCCAAAACAGGGAGACCAGGTGAGCATCCAGCAGCAGTGTCAGGAGTGATCCTGGCCAGACACTGGCACCCTCAGAAGTCGGGGTTGGGACCCCACTCTTGGAACAGTGTCCCTCACCCCAATTAAAATGCAAACTGAGGCAGAGCAGGGCTGCTGGAAGGGCCTGCTCCCACTGCCCAGGGCTGTTGACTCTTTGCTTTACCCTTTAATGTCCCCAGAATTGGAGAGAGAGGACAGAGGACGGGGTGGTGGGTCCAGCTCCTCGGGTGGGGCAGAGGCACAGACCACAGGTCAAGGGCAGCAAATCCAGCTTGGCCTGGGTCCCCAGGTGAGGAACCTGGCTCTACTCCATAGGCATCTGTACAAGAAATAGAAGGATTGCTGAGGCGTGTCAGCCAGCCATGAGAGGAGAGGTAACTAGCAACAAAGGACACTTGCTTCTGTCATAATTCCAAACCTCTCATACATCCTCCTCTCCAGTGTCAGGAAAAACCACGAGAACGAGATTCACTACCACCCGTTTCGCATGACACCTTACCTCGTCAAGATGCGGGAGCCGCACGCCACTGAGAGCCAGCTGTGCTGCGTGCTGCTGGCAGAGAGGGTGCACTCGGGCTATGAAGGTAACAGCCAGGCCCAGGCAGTTCCTCCCGTCTGCAGACGTAAGCCTCTGCCTCTCCCCAAGCCTTGGGCAGAGGCTCCATCTCCCTCGAGACTCAGCACACCCACCTTTGTCACCTGGCCCTCCCCATGGCCCCTGCCACACCACCTCCCCCTGTCAGTTAAAGGGTCTGGGTACCAGCGTCTCTCACCCGTGTCCAGGACGTTGCTGTGACTGTGAGTGCTCTTTCTCCCTCTCCAGCCACTGTCTTCCTTCCAGTAATGAGAACAGCCTGTGGGGTCCAGGGCCCCAGGTCCCTCCCATCCTCATGCAACCTTAGGCCTCAGCCTTGTGGGGCCCTCTGAAGTGCGGAGACACCACTGCCTGCTCAGAACCCCAAACCACCCCACCCACTAAGGAGTAAGGCGCTGAGCATTCCTCCCTCCCACCTTGGCCCGTCCTGCCCTCTCCGCTGCAGTCTGGCTCCTGCAGACGGCAGCTTCCTGAGTCCCAGTCCTTGCTCTTGTGGTTTCTCCCAGGCTCCTCCCCTCCCCCTCTGCCTGCGGAAATCCAGGCACAGCAGGCTTGTCTCACCAGGTGTCCTTTCCTGCTCCCGCCAGCTCCTCAGGCCACCCCCACACGCACAAAAAAACCCCCAAATCTAGAATCTTCCTTTGAAGCCCAAAGGACCCAAGGTGCTTTGCCACCCTGGTTGTGTCCCTCCAGCGACCCTCCTAATAGACTGCCCTGTGACACGGTCCACAACACCTGGCCAGAAACCATAGGTCCTCACCATGGCAACCCAGCGAGTCACGTGATTTCATAATTCTCTGAAAGCAGGTGCCACCTGTAATGACTTAACCACAGGGATCCAGTTGTTCCATGTTTTGTTGTATTTATAATCTTCTCTCAGTGGTTAATGATGTCTTTTTTAAAAAGGCATTTTTTAAGAGTAATAGAAACATTGTTTTCAGTATGTGACTTTCTTTCAAATGTTTGATGGGTTCCTGCAGATAGAATATTCTCTTCCAAATATTCAATAAGGATTAGATTAGATTAGATTTCAGCAAGTTATTCCCCCAAATGATCAGAGTCTCCAAGAATGAGGCATTTTGGAATTTTGAATATTTGTCCATGATTTGGTCATTAAGGACAGTTCTGGATATATGACTTCTTTTATGCAAATTACTCTATCACCTTTGTCCACCTTGGAAACTAAGTCCCAAGACAGACGTTTGCTGAGAATTTTGAATCCAGATGCATCACTCATTTTTTAAAACAATTTGTTCAGCCCCCTCTTGTTCAGTCTTAAAAATCATGAGGATGGCCTTCCAGCACCATTTTGCTGAGAGAAGCCTACGCATTGCAACATGGTTCTGTTAATGGCAATTTCTGGCTTTTTAGACCAAAACTCGTCCACAAAGAAGTTGAGAGGGCTGGCTGGTGGGGGAGGGGAGGGTCTCTCTGCTCCCTTTGTGATGGCTCTGTTGTTCAGAGGCCACTTTTTAATTTTTTCCTTAGCTGCCCATCACTCTGAATCTGCGTGGTTATTTTCTAGTAGTTGTAATATAACTGCATGAAGTATGCATTTCATAGAATCAGAAATCTGTGTAAAATTCTATTCTTTCAGCCCCTAGAATTCCTCCTGAAAAGAGAATTTTTACGACCACACACACACCAAATTGTTTGTTCCAGGACGTGGATGAAAGGTAAGCAATGCGACGCCGTCCCCTCTGCCACCCCCGCCTCTTACACTTTCTTCTGCCCTGGAATCAATATTGTGTCCTTCAGGCCAGCAGATCCTCTCACATGGTATTTAGTGTTTCATCATTTTCTTGGTAGTTACTCAACGACAACTAAATGAAGCTCAGTGAATTGTCATGTTTTTGACGTTGAAGCTGTGTCGCTAAAGCCAAGGCTGCATGTTGATTTTACTTAGGTGATAATCAACAAAAATGTTTAACTATATGTAGGCAATGAAATAATTATGGGATTAAACTAAAACCCCCCTAAGATATGGGCACTGTGTAAGTGGAGCATTCTGGGGAGCTGGTAATCGTTCTAATGGAGCCTGTATTTATAATCCTGTTTAAACTCATTTCACAATCAGACGCACGAGTAAAGAGTGGTACAACTGGGGGCCTAGGACCATGTTAGGATTGAAGCTGGAGACGCCCTTGGCAGGATCCCAGCAGACGTGCATGTGCCAGCCTGTGAGCCACAGGCTGCTACAGGGAGCGCTCACCTCCATTCCTCTGCCCAGAGCCCCCCTTGGACCCCCTTCCTGGGTCTCCCACCTGGGTGCTGCAGCTGTACAAATGGCGCTTGTCGGAGTTGGGAGCACTGACCTTCTGAGAGGGTTCTGGGTTAGCTGGTGTTGGGCCGAGGCCCCGGTGTGCCCTCCCGCAGCTCCTGCTCAGATGCAGGAAGACAGAAAAGGCTGCTGGCAGTGGTCGGGGAGAACTTTCCTGAGGAGACACACGGGAAGTGGACCTGGAAGCACCAGCACGCTGGGCTTTCTGAAACGGGCCGAGGCGGCCTCCACAGATGCTGTCCTCCCCGCTGCCTACAGCTGGCCCACAAACACCCCTGGACACAGGCCATGGGGCCTCCTGGGAGAGTTCTGCTGTCGGGCAGCCAGGGACCATCAGCCTCCAGCCCCAGGCTGCTCAGGTGTGTGCTGCCAACCACCTATGTCAGAATCACCAGAGAGACAGCTTCAAGGGACAGGTTCCTCGGCCCCACCCAGCCCTGCCCGACCAGGATCCGGAGGGTGGGTCCTGGGAGCTGCATTCGTAAAGCAACCCTAGGATAGTTTTTATTCTTCCAAAAGTCTAAGAACTCCTGTCTGCAAACCACCCCAGGTGTCTGCTCACTCATGTGCAGGAGGGTTGATGAGCAGGTGCACGTGGCATTATGGGCCAACAGTCTGCAGAACCTTCCTTGGCAAAGCCCTGTGGGCAGCCCAGCCCAGAGCCCAGGCCAGAGTGCCTGCCCCATCCTCCTCCTCCTTACCCCTTCCTCTTCCTCTGCCCCCCTCTTCCTTCTCCCCCCCCCCCCCTTCCTTCTCCCCCTCCCCCCCCCCCCCCCCCCCCCCCCCCCCCCCCCCCCCCCCCCCCCCCCCCCCCCCCCCCCCCCCCCCCCCCCCCCCCATCTCCTCTTCCCCCCCTTCCTCCTCTCTCTCGTCCTCCTCCTCCTCTTCTCCACCCTCCTCCTCCCGCCTCTTCCCCACGCTCCCTCTTCTCCTCCTCACCCTCCTCCTCTTCCACTCCCCTCTGCCCCCCTTCCTCCTCTGGCCAGGCCTTGACCTGGGAGGGCGCCAGGGACATTCTGTACAACCTGTCCAAAGGAAAACACAAGGCATGGAGACAGCGTGCCTCAGACAGGGAGGAGAAAATCAGAGAATGATGCTGGGCCCACGAGAAAGTTCCACACCACAGGGAACGGGGAGGCTTCACTCGAAAGGCTTGAAGGAGAGTGTCCTTCCACGTGAGCAGAAGAGTTTATGAAAACATCTGTTTGGATGCAAAGAGACTGGCCTCCAGGGGGAGACTGAGATGCAGCTCGGGAGAGGGGACAGCCGCTGAGCAGGCAGAGGGCACTGGACGCGACAGAGGACACTGGATGCAAACAAGACACTGGACACACACATGCAGAAGAGGTGCTGAGACATTCAACCCAGAACATTCTTCCAGAAAGCAAAGTAACAGCTCCAAGCGAAGACCTGATGGGCACGGAGCGAAGGCCCTCTGCCAGTAATGGCGCCTCCACAGGAGCCACAGAACGCGGACCAGACGCAGAGGCCAAAGTAACCGGAGAAGGAGAACAGCCTGAGCTGGAAAAGATGCACACAGACGGGGCTGTCCAAGTCCAGGCAAAACTTGTTAAAAAAAATCCATGCCAGGCCATGGTCTGACCAGACTTACGCATGACACAAAAAAAGAAAAAGATCTTAAAAGAAGAAACACAAAAACATTATTCTGATTTTTTCCTTCGGGAAATTAGACACAAAGCTAAAGCACTTAGCCTCGCAGGGCCACGGGGGGCCTAGTAGGGCCTTGTTTCCCACCACAGACCCGCGGTTGCTGCCATCATTTATTTGCTGATAATTGAAAGACTGACCATTTCTCTGCAGCCTATTTCCCAAATCTTGATCTTTGGGGAATTTGGGGTCTGTCTCTTTTTCCCAATGAGTAAGACGGCTCTTGTGGTGGTCTGCTGCCCTGTTTGGAGGACATATTCTGGAATGCATCCTGACGTGCAGCTGTGGGGCTGAGACTGGGCACGAGCTACACAATGATGCGTATGTGTGTCCTTGCCTTGCAGGGCGGTCCCCCTCCTGGGCTACCTACCTCAGGACCTGATCGAGACCCCCGTGCTCGTGCAGCTTCACCCCAGTGACAGGCCCTTGATGCTCGCCATCCATAAAAAGAGTAGGTCCCCTTTACATGGTAAATCCTGAAGGCTTTGACAAAGCTAATATGCTCCTGGGGCTTCCCCCTGAGGTTGGCACCCAACTCAGATGGGTCCAACCGGCTAACAATGTGTGGGTCTGGATGCTGCCTCCCTGCTGGAATCCTAGTGCTGTCAGCTGACTGATCCAGAGTGGTCAACTCGCATGGGTTCCTTTATGGCCCATGGCCTGAGTCCTGGCATCTCATGTTTACTGTTGGCTTCGCCAGCAGGTGGGAGGACTGGGGACAGGTCCTTCCTGCTGTGGTGGGAGAGGTAGTGATCAGGCCAGGGGAGTGGATGACACATGTCCCCACCACGCCCAGGCCTCACAGACACGGGAGACACCAAGCGTCCCCCTTAGAGAAGACCAGTCGAGGCTAGCAGAGATGTGCATCCTGAAATATATAATGATGCTACCGGAAATAGTCCCTTGTTGCAATTTAAAGCAAACTGGGGGGTTGAAAGCTGTGGCTTTGAAGAGGTGTTGGCATGTCTTAAGTTTTCAGACGATCCCGCAATCGAGTGCATCTTGACTTGTCTTCTCCCACCGCAGACGCGGGCTGCTTCTCCTCTTGCCCTGATCTCTGTTCTTGCTCTCCTAGTCGTGCAGTCTGGCGGGCAGCCTTTTGACTCTTCTCCCATCCGGTTCCGCGCCCGGAACGGAGAGTACATCACGCTGGACACCAGCTGGTCCAGCTTCATCAACCCGTGGAGCAGGAAGATCTCCTTCATCATCGGGAGACACAGAGTCAGGGTGTGAGTGCTCCTAGTGCCCAGCGCGGCTCGGGGCCCTCGCTTCCCCACCAGCACGTGGCACAGGGCGGGTCTGGGGGACCAGGACCCAAGTCACCTCCCACCACATACCCCTGGTGACCTGCCCCCAAACCCCGGGTGGGAGGGACCTCATTCTGGCAGAGCAGTGAGCAGGAGGAGGGAGGTGGTGAGTGGGCAGGTGGCAGCCTGGGGGTCTGCCGGGAGGAGGCAGGGCCCGGCAGGGGCATGCGGCATGGGGCCCAGACTAACAGAGACAAATGAACACCGCACAGGGGCCCTCTGAATGAGGATGTGTTCTCAGCTCAGCCATGCGCGGAGAAGAAGGCCCCACACCCCAGCATTCAGGAGCTCACAGAGCAGATCCACCGGCTGCTGCTGCAGGTGGGTGCGCCACCTGACGCCCTCCCCTCCCCCTCGGTGCACAGCCCCGGAGCTGCCCTGAGTGCTGGGGTCGCCACCCCTCCTTCTCAGGCGCGTCTCACCCCGTCCCGCTCCCCCGTGCCCTGGTGCCCAGGTGTGTTCTCTGTACCAACGTGTGGGCTGGTTTGGGCCAAGTCTCGGCAGGCCCCAGACAGTGGATGCACTGCAGCTTGCCCAGGAGGGCTGCCTACTCTTGCGTGTTTGGGCGTCTGTGTCTGAACTGCAGCCCTGGGCGAGCGGCTGAAGGACATGCCCAGACCCCTGCACCCCGACTCAGCCCCTGAGCCCCGGGCGCTGGTCCATACTTGGCTCTGCATGGGTGTCCAGGGGTGGGTCACTCCCATCCAGGACGCCGCACCGGCTCCAAGGGGACTTGAGAATGCCCTCTCCCTATCTTTGAGGCCACAGCACTCACGAAAAATGCGTGTGAGCACCGTGAGCCCCACGGCTGAGCAGCTTTGTGCTTCTTGGTCACCATAGACTGTGGCAAAAGTGTAATGCACCTTTTTCTGTTTCCAAAACCCCCTCAGTGGAACCTAGGCTGGCCGGGACGGGCCCACAGCCCTGTGAGCTGAGGGAGAGGGTTGAATGAATTCCCTCTTAGGGAGGCTCCCTGGTGACTGGGATCCAGGGACCTGGCACTGTTGGAGGCTGGGAGGCCACCCTGCAGCCTGACCCTGGGTTCAAACTTGGCCCCACCTCGTCCTCCCCGAGCACCCCTGGGCAGGTCAGAGCTTATCTGTGAAATGGGCATGGTGGGGGGACTAAACCCATAGTTCTCCCTAGAGAGCTCAGCCGCACCCCGGCCATGTCCACAGTCCTCCTGTCTGCTCTCTCCCCAGCCTGTCCCCCACAGCGGCTCCAGTGGCTATGGGAGCCTGGGCAGCAACGGGTCTCACGAGCACCTCATGAGCCAGACCTCCTCCAGTGACAGCAATGGCCGTGAGGACTCCTGCGCGAGGAGAGCCGTACGTCCCTCTCTGCCCCTGAGAAACTGTCTGCCGACGTGCTTGAGAGTTACAAAGCACGTTGAAAACCACTTGCTGGTTACCAATGCCTTTATAATCCTAGCTACCCCTGGCCACTCTCTAAACTGCTCACTTGGGGCTTATTCTGTAACCTCTTAAAAGTGGAAGCAGCTAAAAACTGGCTAAAGGTTTGGGTGAAAATTATTTAAAGCAGGCAAATCAAGCAAAAGTGAAGATTTAACTGTAGGATAGAAAGAAGAGAGTGTAACCTTCCATTCCGCTTTATTTTTTATCATTCTTCAGAATCATCAAATACATTTTATCTAGCTCTGCCTCTCTGAATTCTCATTTGGAATGTACTTCTATGTTGCGGGGATTATTTTGGCTTTTCTCTGTCTCAGTGGGGGAGATGGGCTGTAGTACATAGTGGGTGTCCTACAGTCAATAATATGTTCATTTTGTTTTCCTTCAAGGAAATTTGTAAAAATGGTAACAAGGTGAAGAACAAAAGTCATCATCCTGATGGATCTGGAGAACAAAAGAAAAAATCTGCTACAGGTGAAAATTATTCACTGTTTTCCTTAATAAACTTTTGGTATGGCAAGGTGGGAAGAGGAACCTGGCTTTAATTTTAACTCTGGATGGCAGGAAATTTACCTTTTAAGTGTGTGCCACATCCCCTCCCTGTTCAGTGATCCACGTCTGTGAGACGCAGGGCAGCGGGGCCTTCGCTCACTCGGCATCACAGACCCTCACGTGCTCGGGCACCTGGCGGGATGTGGCTGAGTGTGCGTTTCTGCCGCAACGGCCCCTTGTTCTCCTCGCTCTAGAGTGGCCGTAGGGTCATGTGCACACTCACGTGAGCACACGCACACACTCAGCTCTCCTGCAAACATTCAAACCTGAACCTGTCTGAAGTAGAAGGCGCCAGCTTTGCTCTTGGGCCATCCTCTCACATGGGGCCCCCCTGGCACGGGGCTGCCAGCCCACCCCAGCTGCAGCCTGACTCCGCCTCACCATGCTGAGACTTCACACCCTCACACGTGAGCTCATGCTGCCCCTCTGCACGTACACACACACACACACCCCAGTCCCCTTCCCCTGCTGGGCTCTTGCTCATCCTTTGCCCTCAGGCCTCGCCTCCTCCAGGAAGCCTCCAATGAGCCGCCCCAGGTCTCCTCTTGGCCAGGAGTTTTGGCCTTCGGGATACGTAGGCGTGCACTTTGCCCTGGGTGGACACACTGCATGCTACACTCCGTGCTGGGTGTTGGGGCCACGCTAATGAGCAGGACATGGCTCTGCCCTTGAGGGCCCCTCGGGGGAGAGCACGTGGTGCGTGTGATAAGGGCAAGAACAGAAACGTCCACGGTGAGCTGCAGTTATTATTATTGTTGTTGTTCCTGCTGGGTCGTGATCGAAACAACTGACCCTCCCAGGGCAGGGAGTACTGGTGCACTGTAAAGCACCTGGGATCTTATTTACCCTGAAAGTTTCAGGAGTTCAAGCACCGGCCTTTCCCACTGCTGAGTCCTGACCGTGGGGACAGCCCAGGTCAAGTGCTGCCGAGCCCCCAGCCCAGGCAGCAGTCCCTCCAGGCTCCTGCAATGGCACAGCAGCACTTGCCCCTGCACGGCTGCCTGCATATCAGGCTGTCACTGGGCCTCTGCGTCTGCGAAGCGTATTCTGAGCCCCCAGCCTTATCTTTAGGCAGAATTAAAATGCTTTATAAACGCACAGTGTATTTTGAGGGGGAAACAAACATTAACTAAAAGAATACTTTTGTCATTCTTTCAGAAATGCAAAGTAGTTCCCCTGCTCAGCTGACAGTTGTCCCGGCCGCGGAAGAGGACAGCTCAGGGGCAAGCCCCCCGAAGGCCGGGTCTCCCGAGGAGCTGGCCTGCAGGAACCTGCCGGCCGGCTCCTATCAGCAGATCAGCTGCCTGGACAACGTCTTCAGGTGCGGGCACTCCTGGCCTCCTCCGAGGTTGTCACGGCTCTCCAGGCTCTTGTGTGACACGAGCCCTTTATGATCCTCTGCGCAGGTACCTGGAGAGCTGCAGCGAGGCCTCCACCCTGAAGAGGAAGTGCGAGTTCCCGGCAAACGTCCGCACACAGAAGAGCAGCGATAAGCGGAAGGCCGCCGTCAGCCCCGGGCTGCATTGCACAGGTATCTTGTTTGTTTGAGCTGTTAAACACATAATAACTTAGATCCTCTACAGTGGGGTCAGGCATCATTTGAAGGCCTGGAGCCCCCTTCTTCCCTCCCGTGTGAATTCTGAGCAACTTCAGGAACACAGTATGGGGGTGTGGGCTATTTTAAAAATGACCAAATTAACTCAAAACTCAGCAACCTTCTTATGAGTTAGAGGTAAAGGTGATTCTAGACTTTGAGATCAGGTCCCACTGGGGCTGCTGGTGGCCTGGGGCGTCTCACATGGTCATTCTCAAGTGGGTCCCATTTCCGTGGTGTCTCAGAAGAACACTGAGCTATGAACCTTAGCATGCCCCACGAGTCAGATTAAACCTCAGGCCCCTCAAATGTTGTGAGTGTTGCTGGTGGTCATTGCCAGGATCAGAAGTCGGGTAGCCCATTGTTGACGAACCACGATTGGACAGTCACACTGTGAGGGACGGTCTGTGCCCTAGCCCGAGGTGAGGAGAACAGACTGCTTGCTGGCTCTCACCAGAATCTGCTCCTGGCTGCCTGGGCAGCTCCTCCTCACAGGCCTGTGGAAGGGCTCCGGGCTTGGGCAGAGGCCCCTGACCCACAGTGTCCACAGCTGCCCAGCCACCTGCCTCCTCCCTGAGGACTCGGGATGTAAGAATGTAACTCTTCCATCTCAGAATGTCCCCTGTGAATAAATACCTGAGGACAAATCACGTACCGGGATGTGTGCAGACTGTGTGGTCACCTGGGTCCTGGAGCACCATCTAGACGGGGCGTGTCTTATCTGAATGGTTCATTTTTATTGCATTTTGTGTCTGCTTCCATCTTCTCTTATAAAGAGACAGCATCGCCCTCCAAGGTGAACAGCCACGCGGATGTCAGTGCACACCTGACCTCCCTGACGCTGCCCGGCAAGGCGGAGAGCGTGGTGTCCCTCACCAGCCAGTGCAGCTACAGCAGCACCATCGTCCACGTGGGCGACAAGAAGCCACAGCCGGAGCTAGGTACACTTGTTGGTTCTTAGATGGTATTGAAGGCAATCAGATTTTAACAATAAAAATTAGAAGTTTTGACTGCCATCTTAAAATTTTCTTGAGCCAGCCCTGATGGTCTATCGATTAAAGTTTGGCGCTCTCACCACTTCGGTGGCCTGGGTTAGCTTCCTAGTCACAGAAGCACACTACCTGTCTGTCAGTAGCCATGCTGTGGAGGCGGCTCACATAAAAGAACCAGAAGGACTTACAATTAGGATATACAACCATGCACTGGGGCTTTGGGGAGGGAAAAAAAAGAGAAGATTGGCAACAGATGTTAGTTCAGGGCGAATCCTTCCCTGCAAAAAAAAAAAAAGTTTATCCAAGTGCAGAACTACCCTGCCACAGCCTAGTGAAGGGGTTCCGGGAAATCCAGGCGCATGAAATGCTAGGCTGGCATGGCCACACCTGTCCTGATTCCCCACTGCGCTCTGGCGCCACCTGGTGGCAGTTGTCTGTGACTACGGAAGGGGTGGCAGTGGTGCTGAGCCTAGGCCCCCCAGGACTGACTGAGCAGGGATCCCAGGAATCCCCCGTTAGTTGGTGCCGAGGGCTCCCCACCCACCCCTTCACACCTCCCTCCCTTGTTGGAGGACAGGAGCCAGTACCCCTGTACCAGCAGGACAGCGGAGGGCATCATCGCAGAGGTGTCTTGTTCTTCAGCACAGCCATGAGTAAAATGAATCCTGAATTTGCGCTTTGCCTGGAAAAGAGAGATGATGAGGAAAAAGTACAAGCCAAAGAGTCAGTGTCCAAACCCCCTTTCAGGACGGCCAGTGGGTCCCGCCTGCCCTGCCCTGCCTGCACCCACCATTCCACTGATCATGCTGTCACACCCCATGGTCCTGACCCGGACGGGGTTGCACACCAGCCTCAGTCTGTTGTGCTTGAAAAGCTAAGGACAGCCTGGGGTACCTTCAGCGTCAGAGGCTGAAACCCCAAATTTCGATTTGCTGAGAAGACTGACCCTGGAGCCCCCTGGTGATCAGGGCTTTCTGTCATGCTTTCACCTCTTATTGCTACCTTTCTCAGAAAGCTGAAGGGCTGCGTCCCGACTTTCATTCCCATGCCATGGGCATTGTGAAGTAACCTCGTCTGTGGAGGATTTCTCTTCTCCGTAGATGCAGTGTGGGTTTTTCCAGTTGTTGAAAAGACAAGGGCCCTTGCGGATGAGAGGTCTGCGTCTTCTCTTACAGAGACCATGGAAGACCCTGCAAGTGGGCCTGAGTCCCTGGATTGCCCGGCGGGCCCTGCCCTGCCCTGCAGCCTTGGCCCGGAGAAGGAGCCCTTCCGGAAGCTGGGCCTCACCAAGGAGGTGCTGGCCGCCCACACCCAGAAGGAGGAGCAGAGCTTCCTGCTGAAGTTCAAAGAAATCAGGAAACTTGACGTTTTCCAGTCTCACTGCCATTATTACTTACAAGGAAGATCCAAGGGGCAGTCGAATGAAAGAAGTAAGTGGTGATACCTGAATTCAATATGGACTTTTTAAAAAATGTTATTCTTAATGGTACTGAGGCCAGTGCTGCTTGCAAAGTGTGAAATGTCCCCAATTCAGGACATGTGAGTTTGTAAGATAGTTGTTGGATCTTGACCAGTGATGCGGTCTGTTTGGGTTGTAGGGGAGGAAGAGAATTCTTCTACCCATTCTAGGTCTTTCTGGCTGGGCTGCAAATTAAATTGACATGAGACAGAATAACAGGAGAAAATCAAACATGGGAGAGACTCAGGAAAACTGAGCAACTCGCCAAAATGGCAGAGGCTCTCATCTTAAATACCATTTTCAGCTAAAGACAAAGGAGAGTGTTGGGGGTAGTGGTTGAGACTTCAAAGGGGAGGCAGGCAGTTCACATGGAGATGGAAAAGCCAATGTTTGTAAATAGAACTTTGATAACGATGAACTTAGCAAGGACCCTCCCAGTCTATCAATACCCAGAGTCATCTATGGTGATGGCCTGTCCTGGGGACAGGCCTTCTATCTTAGATTTCTTTTAGGCAGCTAGTGGGGGGAGGTCAAAGTTTCTTTCAGAGTCTTCTGTTCTTGAAAATAAGGCAAAGAGACATGTTTTGTGGTGGCCAATTCTGATCCCCCACCAGGTGGAACACTCTCAAGAATGTCATCTCGTGTTCCCAGGGGAACAGTGCTATAAATAGCAGTGACAGTCCCAGGCTAGCCCCTGTGGAACACAGGGCGGGGGCAGTCGCAATGCTGCCATACCAGACATTTCTTGCCTGGGTGACCACGAGGGGCAGGTCACCTGCCACTCAGGTGGGACCCTCGGAGAAGCAGGTCGGCCGCGAGCTAATTCACCTCAGAGAGTGTGAGTGCGGTACGGCTGGAGCATTTGGTGTCGGGCTCCTGAGGGAGCTGTCGGGCTGACACTGTAGGAGGACATGGCACCCTTCTCCCCAGAAGACGGCCCCTCCCGGCTGGGCTGACCTCAGGGCTAGACTGCAGATTCCAAAGCCAGGTGGAGCCTGTGGGGCATCAGCTGCCCTTTAGGCCGAGAGCCGCCAGGTCAAAGGGCAAAGGATAAAGTAGAATAGACTAGCTTTTTTGTCCCTTTTCTGGTCCAGGAGCCTGGCTCATGACCCCCAGCCGCCATCCCAGGCCCCACGGATGGGGCTGGGCTGATCAGAGATGCCACCTCTTCCTTGGGCTCCCAGGGCCTGACACAGATCAGAGCTGGTGAGCCCAGGAGACCCACACGCCCCAAGGAGCCAGCCCCTCCAGGTGTCTAGGCAGACACACAGGAGCGAACATCTAAGAGGTGAAAGAGGCTGACACCCTCCTTAAGGATTATGTCTTTTCCATTCTTTTCCTTTTCTTCTTCTTCCCCAGACTCAGGGTTACTGCCAGGCCATAGAGGGAACTCTGTGGACAGAAAAAATGTCCTCCCGCACCTTGGGCACAGCCACCCCATGGGCAGAGTTCTAGCTTCCTCTTGCCCCCTTGGCCCAGCAGTTTATGCAGTGCACAGACTGCCCAGCTGTCCACAGCAGCCCTACCCAGACCCTGATGTGATATCGCAGGAGCCCAGTGCTTAGCCACTGGTCCCACCAGGGGACAGATTTCCTATAGGAAAAACACCAGTCTGAGTCGCAAAACCTGCACCCACTTAGCAGTTTGCCTTGGGCTGGCCCAGTGCCTTCAGCATGTAGCAAAGGCGAGGAAGCCCCCTTGGCACAGCTGATAGGAGCTGTCCCCACATACCTGTGCAAGAGCCCCGAGTTACCCTGTGAGCGTGAGAGGAAAAACGGAGGTTCCTGGGACCATCCCAGTGCCCGTCCCACCCCAGGCATAGCATGACCCCCAGCCCACGGTGCTCCTAGCACTGGCCTGTGCCTGGGGGAGGCATGGGGACATGCCCGGAATCCTTCCTGTCACCAGTTGAGTCCCTCCACCCTCCTAAAGAAGGCATCATCTCAGCAGCACTTGTCATCAGAGAGGAAGAATTTGGTTCTGAGGGCAAGTGTTCCCTTCTGCTCGGGCTGGAATCACAGGCTTTGTTTGACAGGTGAAGCAGCAAACATCTCTTTTTAAGGAACGGTAGTGATAAAGCTCATAAAATTGAAAAACAAGGTTCGATGAGCTCAGTGGTGCTACCTTCCAGATTTCACAAGCCAGCATTCGGGAACAGCATAGACGTGCCAGCTTCTTTATTTTTTGGACAAATAAAACCTTTTTAATACCACTTATCATCACTATAATTTTATGAAAGAAAGGAGATTTTAATACCAGAAGGAAATAAGGAACATGATCGTGCAATTAAGGGCAGTCCTTTAAATGATTGACTCTGGTTTCAGGAAAACAGCGTTTTGCCCTGATTTTTCTTACTTCACTGAAGATCAGGGAAAACCATATGGTGGACCCGCCGGGACCTGGCTGGCACCTGGGCACAGGGCACTGTTGAACTGGGAGGTGCCTTCAAGTGTCTGAGACTCTGCCAGTCTCTGAGAATTGACATAATAGAAATCACATAAACTTTTACATTTTAACTCTGCTGGTTTTTCCATTATTTTAGTTGCTCCTGGACTAAGAAATACCTCTGGAATAGATTCATCTTGGAAAAAAACTGGGAAGAACAGAAAATTGAAGTCCAAACGGGTCAAGCCTCGGGACTCTTCCGAGAGCACTGGGTCTGGGGGGCCCATGCCCCACCGGCCGCCGCTGGTGGGCCTGAACGCCACCGCCTGGTCACCGTCGGACACGTCCCAGTCCAGCTGTCCGGCCATGCCCTTCTCCGCCCCCTTGCCAGCTTACTCCCTGCCCGTGTTTCCAGCCCCAGGAGTCGTGCCGGCACAAGGGAACGTGGCAGCAGCGCCTGGGGCTCCCCACGCCGGCTTCGCGGTACCCGCAGTGCCCATGGACACCCAGCACGAGTTTGCCGTCCAGCCCCCGCCATTCGCCGCCCCCTTGACCCCAGTCATGGCACTGGTGGTCCCCAGCTATTCTTTCCCCCCGGTGACCTCAAACCTGCCCCCGGCCTTCTTCCCTGGCCAGCCTAGCTTCCCGTCCGAGATGATCCCTGCCTCGCAGCCCCAGTTCCCCGGTCGGACCTCGCCCCCCAAACAGCCATGTGCTTGTCCTCGGGCAGAGTGTGAGCCACCAGCGTCGAGAGCGGCCACCCCACTGCCGGCCGCCGGACCCCCGGGCAGGGCCTCCCCACCACTCTTCCAGTCCCGCAGCAGCTCACCCCTGCAGCTCAACCTGCTGCAGCTAGAGGACGGCCCCGAGGGCAGCACCGCAGCCCCAGGGACAGCGGGGACCACAGGGATGGCGGGTGCGGGGCCCGACTGCAAACCTGGCGCATCCTGGGACCGGCAACCAAAGGCCCTGCCAACCGTAAGGACATCCTGATGCTCTTTGTCTAAAGTGGGCAGCAAACCGACACCGTGTGGGCAGGTCAAACGCACGTTCCCATCTCAGACGGGGGTGGTTCCATACACCTCAGGATTCTGCCGAGCCACTTCCATGTTGACATAAATACGTGTGCTAGAAATGAACATTTTCTGGGTGAATGACCCTATCAGGGTAGACAAGTGGGAGATTTTTATTGTCTTGGGATCTGAACGAAGGAGGATGGAGTGATTGAGGATAAATGTAGGATCCAAGGAGCCGCAGGTGACTTCGTGACTCGTTGTTCTGGGCCTCGAAGGTTTTCATGACTACTTCAGGGATAAAGCGCAGTCAGGGTCAGTGCTGGAACCAGGGCTCCTCGCAGGGCCACGGGGGAAGCTGGAAGGATGAAGGAGGAGGGCTCTGAAACTGGGGTCCCATCCTCCCAAGGGCTGTTGGTGTGGCATTCTTTTTTTATTTATTTATTTTTTTTTGTGAGGAAGATCAGCCCTGAGCTAACATCCATGCTAATCCTCCTCTTTTTGCTGAGGAAGACGGGCTCTGAGCCAACATCTATTGCCAATCCTCCTCCTTTTTTTTTTTTCCCCCAAAGCCCCAGCAGATAGTTGTATGTCATAGCTGCACATCCTTCTAGTTGCTGTATGTGGGACGCGGCCTCAGCATGGCTGGAGAAGCCGTGCATCAGTGTGCGCCCGGGATCCGAACCGGGACCACCAGCAGTGGAGCGCGCGCACTTAACCGCCAAGCCACGGGGCCGGCCCTGATGTGGCATTGTTATTTGGCGAATGGAATTGTAATTTTATTTCTAGTGAAATGCTTTTGTGTTCTGAACAAGCTTTGGTGGTAGCATCAGCGGAGGCCGTGCAGTCCGGGGGCCCAAGGAGGGGCTGCGTGGGGACTCCCTGCCTTTGCTCTCGGGACAGGAAGTGGGACCTCGCAAACAGACCAGCTCTCCTAGCGTGTCTGCCGCCCTCCTGACTCCTGTTTCTGGGGTCCTGGGCCCCCACGGATCAGAGGGCCGGGGTGCTCCCAGGCCAAGCCCCTCCCACATTCCCAAGGCCGCCCCTGCTCTCGGGGCACAGGAGCCAGGAAGCCAGAGCCGCACCCACTTCGAGGAGCAGCCCTGGGACGCCGGTGGCATTTTCTGCTCCCATGTCTGCCGTGGCCGAGGAACAAGCATCAGGCTTTTCCCCCATAGATCCACAAACTGCCGTCTTTAGTGTGACTCTCCCAAAATTAAATTTAATGGCATTCATAGACCACTAGGATTCTCACTACAGTCTCAGTAGCCACGGGATTTGTTCACTCGGCCTTCTTCATCGGCACGTGAAGGAAGGGCCAGGGATCCAGGGAGGAATGCACTTTGCTATGTCCCTGAGTGACCTTGGGCAGACGGCCTCCGCAGCTCCCGCTCCCAGCCCCCTGCCCTTCTCGCCCCCCACCCTCGCTCTGTGTGCTTTGTGCTGACTGTGGGGTCTTCTCCCTGTTCCTGCAGTGCAGTGAGCCCACAGACACCCAGAACAGCGATGCCCTCTCCACGTCCAGCCACCTGCTTGACCTCTTACTGCACGAGGACCTCTGCTCGGGCACAGGGTCAGCCCTGTCTGCAAGCGGGGCCTCTGCCACCTCTGATTCCCTGGGCTCCGGCTTGCTGGGCTGTGAAGCATCCAGAAGTGGGACAGGTATGTTGGTGGCAATGGGAGCACCTGGGTCCTGGCGGAGTGGGCGTGTCTTCAGCTGCTTGGTTTCAGATGCGTTTGGAAGATTCTCACGTGATGTACTGGGGCATCCGCCACTTTTGCCACATCCTGCCCCAGAGCGGCAGGCCGACACGTGCTCTGGGCCCAGTATCAGGTGCAGACCAGGTCCCTACAGGCGTCCAGCTGGCCTCCCGAGCGGCTCCTCAGAGCCCACGGCAGCTCACACAGGCCGGCAGGTGCTCCTCCCGTCTGGCTCTGCCGGCGTGGTGGCGGGCCCTGGCCAGTCCGAATCCCCTCTGACCTGTCGCTGTCCATGTTGGTGTCCCTGCAGGCCTCCCCACCCCGGCCCTTGTTGGCCATCTCACGGGCTCCCCGGGCGTGCCAGGAGGGCCAGTAGTGGGTCACCTTCCTGAGTTAGCTCTCCTCATGTGAACCGAGCGCATGGCCCACGTGCTTCACCGACCGGGATCTTTCCAGTGTGATCTGGAACCACGGTAACGGGGAATGCACACTCTCTCCACAAACGCTGAGACCCCTGCTTCCCTGCAGTGAGCGTTCACATCCCCTACACCGCCCGGACTCTTGCCCTGCGGGAGGCCGCTGTGCATGCACCGGGCCACCGCCTGCCACTTACAGAACTGAAGCTGGCTTCTCCCTGGTCTGGCTTAGTCAAGAGGTAGTGAGCACTGGGGAAAGAAGACCCCAGTTTCTAAGACTTGGCCCCACCAGGGCTCTCGGGGCCTCCCCAAGAGAGAATTGCCTCTGTAGGACTGGCTGATATCCTATTTTTAAATTACCCAGATAATCCGAGAACTGGGAAGAGAAGGGAAAAATCCACCAACACAGGCCCTTGTTACCAAATGAAAGCCTTCAGCTCCCTAAATCGCCATTACTTCACACGAGCACACTATTCGAGGTTTAACTTAGCATTAGAGGCTCTGACCTGCCCCATCTGTGTTTTTAAAGGCAGTAGTGACACAAGTCACACCAGCAAATATTTTGGAAGCATTGACTCCTCGGAGAATAATCACAAAGCGAAAGTGAAGGCAGACGTGGACGAAAGCACACACTTCATCAAGTACGTCCTGCAGGACCCCGTCTGGCTGCTGATGGCCGACACGGACGACAGCGTCATGATGACGTACCAGATGCCCTCCCGGTACCCACTCCGTCTTTTCCTAGAGACACGTGGAGGGCTGAGGTTGAGGATTCCCCAAGCAGCAAGGCCACCCCATCGGGGGGACTTCCCTCTGAAGCCTTATCTCAGATGGAGCTGAGTACAGCAGATAGAGAAGCAGGGTCCCTCTAGAGGGTTCCCCTGTTCCCTCGGAGCCCAGTGAGTAACCTGCTACAGGCTTCGTGGAAGAGGGGCTCCTAGCCACCCTCCAGGGTGTCGCACTTGACGAGCATTTGTGCCAACATCATCTCTGCTGCTCTGTTGCCCAGTAACCCTGTGGGTAAATGGGGTGTGTGTGTCTTAGACATGTAGAAACCAGGGGTTGAGGTAGGTGACCAGCCCGAGGCCGCTGGCTGCTCTGTAGTGCCCCCAGGTCTGTGTCCCAGCTGTGACTCCACGTGAGGCTGCTCTCAGGGACTGTCAGGGTCCCTGCCCCAGCAGAGCCCCCTGGGTGCGGGAAGCTAGGGAGAGAGAGGGAGGGAGGATTCACCCTGAGGTCAGAACAACTAGGCCTCTGGGCCGGGGAGCTCTAGGGCAGCTTCAGGCCGGCCGTGTTGGCAGGAGGAAGGGAAGGTTATTCTCTGTACCACCTCCACGGTGAGCCTCCCAGATTAACCACCCCGTGCAGAACCACACGTCTGCAGGTACCTGGCTCCCACGTCTAATCTAAAGTAAAACCAAAATCGTGACTCGGATTATCATTTTAATAGAAAAACTACAGATTATTTACTAAGGAGGTTAAGTTACTTTAAATAGGGTAATTTATTTTAAATAGAAAGGAAAATCGCATTAAACAAACTTACATTTTTTTTTTTTTTTGGTGAGGAAGATCGGCTCTGAGCTGACATCTGCCAATCCTCCTCTTTTTGTGCTGAGGAAGACTGGCCCTGGGCTAACATCCGTGCCCATCTTCCTCCACTTTATATGGGATGCCACTACAGCATGGCTTGCCAAGCGGTGCATTGGTGCGTGCCCGGGATCCCAACCGGCGAATCGTGGGCCGCCACAGCGGAGCGCACGGACTTAACCGCTTGCGCCACCAGGCCAGCCCCAAACTTATGTTGTTAATAATGAAAGAGTTGGTAGAAAATGAGTGTATTCTTTAAATAAACAAAACCCCTTAAGATATTCTAAAGCTCACCCATTTCTAAATATTTTGTGAAGAAATTTAGAAACGGTTTTAAAGGAGGACAGAGAGAAGCTGAAGGTGATGCAGAGGTTCCAGCCCCGGTTCACGCAGGGCCAGAAGCAGGAGCTGCAGGAGGTCCACCCGTGGATGCGGGCGGGCGGCCTGCCCGCGGCTGTCGACGTGGCGGTAAGCTCTCGGGACTGGTTTCCTGACATTGCGTGAAAAGGCACTGGGATGGGAGCACTCTGTACTGTCTTTGCAACTGTCCTGTAAGTTAAAACTTCTAAAATTAAAAAGTTCATGAAAAAAAAGAAAGATGCCGTGACACAGTTAGGCCTACTTCGAAGAACTTTCTTCCAATGGCTTTTCAACATTGTTCCCCAAAAGGTCTTCTAAATGTCTGATCTCATTCGAGACCTGAAATTTGAATGTTTTTCTTTCTTTCAATTCTGTTTTCAATTAAAAAAAAAAAACCTCTCCTATCATAAACCCTCAATATCCATGTGGACCATTAAATAACATGGGAATGTCAAGGTCCCCCCCTTCTCCTCTCACCAGGCCGCGCCCGCCTCCAGCTGCCCCATCTGTCTCTGTTCCTTCTGGAGAGTTCCGAAGACCCGTCTGTACCCAGCTGCTCTCTCCTGAACCCCATGCCCTGGAAGCTGCCCTTGTCAAGATCTCAGTGTCCTCCAGCAGCTGATTCTCTGCCTTTTCTGTCCTCGCCTGACAGGACAGTCCTTATTTAGGACGCCCCCTCCCCTCAGAGCTCCTCCCTCCCTCGGCCCAGCCCCGGGCTCTCAGGTTGTCTGCTCCAGCCTCCTGGTCTCCGGGATTGAAGCCTGGTTCCCAGACTCAGGGTTTGCACTGCTTCTCTGTCTGCACCCCCTCCAGAACTATCTCCTCCTTCCTGATGGGAAACCCTATGTGCTAGGATTCCCTAACGTCCCCTTCCAGCCCAGCCCTCTGTCGAACTCCATCTGTCCAAGACCCACCTCCTGATTATCCTCAGAGAGAAGCACTCTCTTCCCACCCCACTCAAAGGCGCCTCCGTTACTCCGCTTGCTCAGGCCATACACTTCAGTGTCACCCTGAACTCGCCTCCTCGCATACCCCATCTGGTTCACTAGCAAATCATGTTGGCTTGACCTTCAAGGTGGATAGAAACCAGCCACTTCCCATCACTTGCAGCATCACCTGCCTGGTCCAAGCCATGGTGCTGCCTCACCAGGATTGTCACAATAGCCTCCTAGCTGCACTCTGTTCCCTGTTGTGCCCTACAGTCAGACCACATCACTCCTCAGCTCAGATCTTCCAACGGTGCCCCATCTCGATCAGAGAAAATTGCTGTAAAGCCATACACATCTGACCCCCCCCTTACATCTTTCATCTCGTCTATTTCTCTTGCCCTCACTCTGTCCTCTTGAGCTACACTGGGCTCTTGGCTGTTCCCTGAACTCGTCAGGCAGGCTCCTGCCTCAGGACCTTTGCACCTGCCCTTCCCTCTGCTTTCCTCTGAGGAAAGAGGAAATCCTCTTTCCTCAGATAGACATGTGGCTCACTCTGGCTTCCTTCAGGTCTTTTTTTTCACATGCTCTGTGTTATCTATTGCTGCATAGCAAATAACCCCAAAACTTAGTGGCTTAAAATAATAAACATTTATTATCTATCTCCCACTGTTTCTTTGGGTTGAGAGTTTAAAAGCAGCTTAGCTAGGTGATTCTCACTCAGGGTCTCTCCTGAGGTTGAAGGCAAGATGTTAGCCGGGGCTTCTGTCATCTGAAGGCTGGTTTGGGGCTGGAGGATCCACTTCCAAGGAGGCTCCCTCACACACTTGTCCAGTTGGTGCTGGCTATTGGTAGGAGGCCTCAGCTCCTCGCCACGTGGACCTCTCCATAGGGCTGCATGGGTGTCCTCGTGACGTGGCAGCTGGCTTCCCCAGAGAGAACACGAGGAAGCCGCAGCGCCTTTTATGACCCAGTCTCAGAAGTCACACATGTCACTTCCATCACATCCTCTGTTATAGGCAAGTCCCTGAGTCCAGCCCATGCCTAAGGGGAGGAGTGTCAAAGAATTTGTGGACATACTTTAAAAACACCACCTTCTCTGTGGCCTTTTCTGAATATCCAGTGTAAAATTACAGACGTCCTCCACATGCCTGGTTCCACGTCAACCTAGCACTTCCCACCTTTTAATACAATGTGGAGCACTTCCCATTTCATTTATTGTCCCTCTCCCCTACTAGGATGTCACCTCCACTGGGGCGGGATTTTCGTCTTTGTTCACTGCTGACTCCCAATGCTTAGAACGTGCCTGGAACACGACAGGTGCTACACAGATAGTTGGGGAATTAGCAAATGGGACGGTCCATTGTCGATGTCTCATTTTACAGATTAGAAGACCAAGGTTAGAAACAGTGGGTAACTTAACTCCAGGTCCCACAGGCAGAAGGAGGAGGACAAGAATGGAGCCTGAGCCTGCTGGTTTACACTGCCCCCCACCCCATGCAAAGCTGCCTTTCAGATAAGGGCCCCGACTCTCCGCTGGCCTTGGGGAGCTGGGAGTAGGGGCCCCTTGGGAACAGCTCTGGGCTCCTTCGAGGGCAGGCGGGGTTCCACGGCCCAGCGGCACCTCAGAGGCTGCCTGTCCTCCTGGCTCTCCTCCGGCAGCCTCACGGCTAACCGCTGGTCACCTGCACCTCACTCAGGGTAACATACTTTTTTGTAATGAAGATCTCATTTTTGTTACTGATTTTACATTTTTCCTTAAGGAATGTGTTTACTGTGAAAACGAGGGAAAAGGTACCATTTGTGTACCATATGAAGAAGATATCCCTACCCTGGGACACAGTGAAGTGACAGACACCAAAAAGGAGGAAAATGGACCCCACTGAGTCAGAGAAACGAAGAGCAGTGGTAACCGCACTCCCAGCCCCGACCACCAGCGATCTACATTAGATGGTGCTCGGAAGAGATGAAAGAGCTTCACGTTTGTTTCTAATGAAATGGACAGATATACTTATGTTGCTTTTTTTTGTTTTAGGAAAAAAAACATAGTTTTCTGAAGGGGTGATTTAAAACTGTGGAGGGTGGGAAGGGTTTGGGAAGAAACACATTTTTATATTTAAAATATAAATATGGAATTTTGGGGGACAGGGGAAGAGATTTTCGTTGTTATTTGACTTGAGAAAGACTGAATCCCTGATTGTAAGTGTCGGGGAAGAGCCTGAGAGCTCTCAGAAGTCCTGGGACCGCAGTGAGGCCTCTGTCCAGTGCACCCGTGTCCACTGGCCTCCTGTGGGTTGTCCGAGGCATCATACCTGGCTATAACCAACAGCTAGGATGCCACCCGCAACTCTGAGCTGAGGGCACCAGCCTTCCAGAGCTTTCCCAGGGTGGGTTTGGATCAGAACAAATTCTGTCCTCTCTCGGGGGCTGCTTTTTATCTAAAGTATTATTTAGTCAAACTAGATGTTTTTAAAAGATAACAAGTGGAGATCACAGCCTCTCCTAATTTTCTTTCTAAATGTTTCACATGAAACGGTGTGAAGCGTAGTTTGGCTTCAGGTGCTGTAGTGGCAAGCATTTCAATCTGACGTAGCTTTCATTTGGGGTGAACAAAGTTGAACTGCTCTTTGGACTAATGTAGCCTAGTGGTTTGTGTGACCAGCTCCGTCAGATTAATACACACCCAGACCCTTCTGTATATTTCTACGTCATTTTCAGACCATGACCAATATGTAGATAAAATATGCTGTCAGTCACCTCTTCACCGTGACTTCCCTCTGCAAACCAGGCCTCGATCGCCACATTTGGGACCCATGTGTGTTTGTTCTTTGGTTGGAGCCTTGCAGGCATCAGCTGTGGCCCAGCCAAGCCAGCGCCCTCTCCTGTCAGAGAGCAGCTGCTGACGCTGTGAGCGGGCGGTGACTGCGTGCATCAGTGTTTTCCTGGGTGCTGTGAGCTCGCCTCTCCACCGCACCCTGGGCTGGGATGTTGGCCCTCAGTCTTTCCATGAGCTTGACCTCGTGTGGTGCAGCTTCCGGTCGCTGCAGTGATGTCCACTAGCGCCACCAGCACTTTCAGGTCATTGGGACACTTGGGGAAGAGTGAGGGCAGTCTGCCCAACTTGTACAAAACCTCACGTTGCATCATTATCCCATAGATTATTTGGAAAATTTTTATATTGGTCCCTGGAGTGAATGAGAAGTTACCACTGATGAAACCATTGACGTAAAATTGGATTGAGTCTGTAGAAACTGAAAAGGAAGCAGGGTTCTCTTGTTCTCTGCTGGAGAAGCGGCTACTAGAGCAAGTGACATCCTGTAATCCAGTTGGTTTTCATAGTAAAACCGTCTTATGCCTGACTATTAATTCTATTTTTTATAAACTCAAACACAAGAACACTGTTTAATTTTTTTTTTTTAATTCACAAAGTATCATCACCTTCAGATGCCCCAAAAGAGGTAGTGGTCTGTGTATTTGTGTGGAAATCAGATGCTGCAAACTGCTTCCTGCCTCTGAAGTCAGATCATTAAGGGATTGGACACTAGTCAAGGTCACATGTATGTTACCTAAACACAAAACTGCCAAAACATTCTCTACTGTTCTGGATGTTTACCATCAGCATTATTTTATTATTTAATGTGTACTCATTGATTGTTAACTGCATCGCTTCAACACGCGCTGAGAAGCTGACACTAGGAGCATTTTGTGAAATTGTTTACACGGTGCCACGCATCGAATCGTATGTTTCTTTAGTCTGTGTGCTTACACGGGTGTTATAAAAACTTTTTCTCAATTTTAAACTGAGCCTTCTTTTTAATACATTCCTAAGAAGAGATGTAAATAAGCTCTCAGTCTGTGCGATGACCTGTTAACCTTGCGGGACAAATGGTCTGTTCACGCGCGAACCAGACCTTCTCCACCCAGTGCAATATGTATGTCTGACAGCTTGTGTCTTTTTATGACTTTTTTGCCTTTTAGAAAACTGGTAAATAAAGCAAGTATATTTTTATTTTTAATTGTATGTATTTTCAATGTAGCACAGAGCAAAAACAATAAGAGATCAAAGATTACCAAAGGATTTTTTTTAAAAACTCTACAAATTCTGCGTTAGAGCTGCTGCTCTCTCAAAGGCCTCCCTGCCTCTCTTGCCCTGCACAGCATGCTGCTCGCTGGTCCTTGCCTGTCTGTTTTAAAGACGCTTCTCTCTTGCACACACCCTCAACGTGCTCCTCACTCCTTGGCCAGCAGCCACTGGTTGAACTTTCTATGCTGTACATCTAATCCTATAATCCAGTCCTCCCACAGTCTTTTCACTTGCAGACAGAGGGGTGGAGCTGCTTGGCTCAGCCCCTGACGTGACCCCAGGAACCTACTCTTCCCATTTTCCCTGCTCTGGGTTGTCTGTCCCTTCTGCCTATATGCTGGCCACGGGCCTGAAGGCAGAGAGGTCTGAAGGACACCGGCCTGAAAGGCCTCGTGTCCCTGTTGGAGGCAACACAGGCAGCCATCACAATCTCCTCACACCCTACCTGCCGAGTCCTTCCTTCCACAATGATGAAGCCCTGCGGGGCCTGGTCAAAACAGTAAGGCCTGCTCCCCACTTCCTCCCCCTTTTCACACCAGGACTGTGGGAGTTAGAGCAGGGAGATGAATGGATCCCGGACCCAGTGCCCAGCCTCCTAGTAGCTCCCTGAGCAGGAGGGAGGGCTCTACTCTCTGCCTCCTGGCCTGGCCACGTAAATCCAAGTGGTGATGGAGGTGGGAGGGACAAAAGGCAAAGTCCTCCCAGTGAGCACAGAGGCCTCTACAAACTGGCCCTAAATGCCAGATGTGGCTGTTTCACTGAACTTCTGAGTGCCTTTGGGCACTCCTAATTGCATTTTTATTTACCATATAACCCCAAGTGCACCCCCCCCCCCTTTATTTCCAAACCAAAAGGACTTTTTCTGAGCCTCCTGGGCTGATTGCCCACAAGAGGCCTGGACATCTACAGGCTGGCCACTGCCTTTGTTCCCTGGAGATTTATGGCCTGCCACTTCTGCCACTAACTGGTCCCCCTGTGGCCACCAGAGCCCTGCCCAGCCTCTGCTGGCCTCTGTTCCTGGATCTGAGAGGATCAAAGGGCTCAAATGCTCAGGAAGTCTGTGCTCAGGCAACTTTTGAAGGTGGGATCCGTTCAAGGGACAAATGGCAGGAAGCTGGTCTGCTAGGGTAGGTACGAAGGAGGAAGAGAGGGTCTGGTGGCCCTGAGATAAAGTAGCCAGGCTTCTGGGAGGAAAAGGCCAAGCCAGCCAGCCAATGTTCCCACTAAGGGAAATTGAGGCTGACTTCAAAGATGGGACCTTGGGCAGCCTCCAGTCCAACCAAGAAGGATTCTACTGATTCATATACCCTGCTCTATCCTTATGCTTTTTTCCCCAAGGATAATTGGTCACACTGAGGCATATCCTAGCATTTAATTTCTCTTTCTTTCAACTGTAGACAGCATTCCTCAATTCTCCCACCCCATGTAAGACAAGGCTTTTGAGGTCCCTAGCCCTCCCTTTAGCCTCCTCCCTTCTGACAATGTCACTGTCCTTTTGTTTTTACAAAATCAACTTTATATCATGTCCTGTGACCATAATTAAGCCTTCCTTGCCTTCTCTATAGATTGATTCTAAGTGTTGAAACCTTCTGAACCGTGTTACATTGTTGTGACTATGAAAGAATTGGCTACAGAGCCAAGTAATGAGCTAAGATTACATTTCTCTTCTTGGACAGCTTTTTGTTTTTCCTGGAGTTCCTAGTTGCCTTTCATTTTTTGCTTGCACCATTTGCCTTTATCATGTCCTCCTCTGCTCCCCACACTCAGTACCCCATCCTGTCAAGTCTTCTATTAATCTTTTTCCAGAGGCCTCCCCCAAGGCTTTGATCATTCTGTTCTAATATGAACTGCTTTTCATGGAGAGCATTCTAAATTACCTGTTTGGCTTTGTTCAAACGATATAATGGATAATGGGAGGAGTAAGAATCAGAGTACAAGAAATATCACTGAGTGTATTTTTCCATATCGCAGTTTCTCAAAGTAATGGAAGCTTAATTGTAGTTACTTGGGGGGGGGGTCTCCTTCCCCGGGGTGATAAATGTACAAATGGTGGAAAAGAGTAGAGTTACAGGCCAGCTCTGGGCTCTCTTGGGGTCCACCACTCAAGCCCCTGCCCCCAACCCTGTCAGCCTCATGGCTAGGAGTAGAGAGGGACGGGCTGTTGGGTCACTGAACAGCCAGGGAAGGGCGGGAGGAACAGAGCTGAGCTTGCCGGCTTGTGGGGGAGACTGAGGACAACAGGGGGTGATTGAAGTAATACCTGGACGAGCAAGGCGGGGCTGAGGAGGTCTCAGGGGCCTGCTCACGGAGAGGCAACCAAGAGGCAGCACGGGGTCAGGTGAAAATCAGCAGAAGGGGCTCCCTGCTAGTTATAGAGTCAGTGAGGTAACTTTGGGAACCCTCAAACCTCTCAACCAACTTGCCCTGCCTGTGGCGGTCCCTCTGGTGGGGAGCCCAAGGTGAAATAGCCACCTGGAGGGGGTGGGTGGCTGATGGGGGAGGGGGTGTTGGGGGGTGCAGAGGGTGCTGGGTATTCTGTCGCCCCACCACACTGCAGTCCCTGGATGTTCCCTTCCCCTGCTGCCTTCCAGCCAGGCTTGGGACACCCTCTCACCTTTCCTATTGCTTCTGTAGGGCGGGGCTCTGTGCTGGGAGTAGATTGGGGGTCCTAGGTCAGACTGTACCCTTGACCAGGGATGCTCACAGCCTGGAGGGGCGCAGACCAGACCCTGACAATCCCAATCCTGAGTAGTGGGGGACTGGGTAAGGGTGCAGTGCTGCTGCAGGGTGGGTGTGCTCCCACCAGGCAGATGGATAGGGAAGCTGAGAGCTGAACAGTGAGGAAATAGCCACTGAAGGTGGGTGGGAGCCTGCTCCAGGAGGAAGGCTCCCCGCGCCCAAAGCCCTGACGGCCAGAAGGCTTCTTGGCATTCCAGCTCTGCCTGGCGGCGGCGTGGACCTAGGCCCGCGGAGCAGGGCCCAGGCCGGGGTCCCCAGGGCGCTGCCCAAGGGTGCCGCCCCATCGCCCACGCAGCCCGCAGTCGGGAGGCCACGCCGGCAGCTGGGCGGCCCGGTGGAGGTGGCAGTCGTCTGGCCGACACAGGCGCGCCCGCCGCCCGCCCGCCGGACAAAGCGGCCGAGACAAAGGCACGGCCAACACCTGTCGCTCCTGGGGCGGCCGCCGCTTTTCTCCGCCGAAGCGGCTGCAGCTGCCAACTGTCACGGGCATCAAGTTACGGGGACCAGACGGCGGCCTCCGCGAGCATGGCGGGGGGAGGGAGCCGAGGGGGGACGGGGTGGCGACGGGGACTGGCGGGGCCGGGGCCGGGGTGAACGAACAGGGAGGGGACCAGGGAAGGGCGGTGGGGTGGGGGGAGCCAGAGGAGGGCGGGCGGGGGGCTGGTTGAGGGGGGAAAGGGAGGTCAAAGGGGGGCCGGGGGAGCCAAGGAGATTAGGGGGAGATGGGGGCCTCTGGGCGGCCGGCGATGATGACCAGGAAAGAACGGGCAGCTGGGGTTGGGGGGAGCAGGGAAGAAGGGGCATCTGGGGGGTGCGGACCAGGGAAGGACGGGCGGGAGTGGGGGAATGACCAGAGTAGAGCCCGGAGGAGGAGCGCGACCCGCGGACCCGTCCCACTGGGATCCCCACGCGGGCGCGGGGCGGCGTCCAGGGTCCGGCGTCGGGACCCACAAGTCCACAAGAAACGCACGGGGGCCACAGGCCCGCTCCAACCCCCGAGGCCCCATGGGCCCCACCTTCCCGGGGCTCCGCAGCCAGCCCAGCCCAGACGCATACCCGCCTTCAGGTCCGGAGACCGCGGCCTTAACGGTGGCTCTGCCCCCAGGACCCAGCACCCGGGCACCGGCGCAGGAGCGCTCTACCGAGAGGCACCTTCGATGAACGAAGTCGAGTGAGAATGCACGAATGAACACATGGGTGAGCTCCTGCTCACCTGGGGGCCTTGCTCAGGGTAGGGAGGGAGACTGAGCACCCAGGGCCGCAGCTCCCGGGTCACCGCCCGCCCGGGTGCCCCTCCTGCGGGGGTCGCGCGGAGGCCGGGCTGGGGGCCCCGCCCG